ATAGTATTGTGGTCTTAGAAGAAGATGCATTGCAGTATTTTTATATTTGTAAATTTATGGAGGTTTGTTTTGTAGCCTCACACATGGTCTATTCTGGAGAACATTGCATGTGTGCTGGAAAAGAATGTGTATTGTGCTGTTGTTGCACTGAATGCTCTGTACACATCTATAAGGTCCAATTGGCTGATTGTGTTGTTTAGCTCCTGTGTGTCTTTGTCAAGTTTCTTTCTGGTTGTTCTATCCATTTTTGAAAGCAGTGTATTAAAATTGCCCACTATTATTGCAAATTCATCTATTTCTTTCTTCAAATCTAGTAGCATTTGCTTTATATAATTTGGAGCTCTTTCATTTTGATCATAGATATTTACTATGGTTATATCATCTTGTTCAATTGTCCCTTTAATCATGAGATAATGTCCATCCTTATCTATTATGCTGTTTTTTGCCTTAAAGTTTATTTAATCAGAGTTAGCACTGCAACTCCTGTGCGTTTTTTATTGCAAGTAGCTTGGTATATTTTTTCCCTCCTTTCACTTTTAATCTGTTTTTATCTCTGTGTGTAAGATGTATCTCTTGCAGACAACATATTGAAGGATCTTGTAATTTTATCCATTCTGCAACCCTCTGTCTCTTAACTGGTGTATTTAATCCATTTACATTCAGTGCAATTGTCGATAAGTATGGTTTAATTGCTGCCATTTGTATGTGTGTGTTGTTGTTGCTTTCTTTGTTCTGCATGTTTTCCTGTGCTGAGTTCATGGTTTTTGTGTTCTTTCTTCTGAGTTTCCTCATTATTTTAATGTTTCCATGTTCTTAGATTTTCATTTTCTTGATATGTTGTGAAGTGTTAATTTTCTTTGAGGTTACCTTATATTCCATTACATTTCCCTCCAGACAGTGTAGTCTATTTTGTCCTGTAATCAATCTGACCTTCTCACCATCTGGATCTCTGTTCCTATGTGTTTACCTTCTTGCATATTGTAATTGTTTTGATCATAGACTGACCTCCCAGATCCTCAGAGTTTGTTCTTATAGTTTTGTTCTGTTCTCGACTCTTCTGTCTGTCGATTTAGTTCTGGGAGGTGGTGCCATGTATGTCAATCTCTGGGTTGTTGTCTGTTCTTGTTGGTTCTCAGTCCACAGAACTCCCTTTAGGATGTTTTGTAGCTCAGGGTTGGCTTTGGAAAAATCCCTTAGCTTCTCTTTATCCTGGAGTGTTTTGATTACAATGTCATATTTGATTGATAGCTTTACTGGATAAAGATTCTTGGTTGGCAGTTTTTTTCTTTCATGGTTTTATATATGTCTCCCCATTGTCTTCTTGCCCGCATGGTTTCTGCTGAGCGATCCGAGCTTAATCTGACTTGCTTGTATGTAATGCTTCTCTTTCAGGATTATCTTCTTATGTTTGATTTTGGAGAGCTTGATTATAATATATCTCGGTGATTTTCTTTTCCTGGGGTTCGTTGAGCTGTTTGAATGCTTATCTTTTCATTTTTCAGTATGTTAGAGAAATTTTCTTCCAGCAGCTCTTCAATTATCTCCTCTGTGGACTTGTGTGATTCTCCCTGTTCCGCAGTGCCGATAATTATTAAGTTATTCCTCTTCATGTTGTCCAACATGAAATCTTAGACCTTCTTCAGATTTTTTTTTATACTTTTTTCTGCTTGCACTTCTATATTAGTGGTATTGAGAGATTTGTCTTCCAGGTCACTTGTTCTGCCTTCCATCTCTTCAGTTCTACTCCTTGGCCCTTTCAGTGTATTGTCTATTTCTGATATTTTATTATTGGTTGTTTGGACCTCTTCCTGTAGGTTTTGAATTGTTTCTAATGCTATATCTGTCTTATTTGATTGTTCCTGTAGCACTTTCCTAACTTCTTCCTTATTTTTCTCAACTCCATTGTAAAATGTTTTGAAACATTTTATAATCATTTTTCTGAATTCCTTCTCAGGCATTTCCAAGGCCTCCCCTCATTCCAGAATGTACTCCAGGTCTACCTCTATGTCGTTTGTCTTAAATATTTTATCTTGTTTCTGGACATGTGCTGTTATGGTCATCTGCTTTTGCTTCTTGGACATGTTTAGATTTCAGCTGGGGCCTTAATACTTATTCGAGTGTGTGTTTTGGTATTTTTTGTGCTTTCTGATTGCCTCCAGGTAGATGTCATCAGCATGTGGGCTTCCATTTTCACTCTTCTTATTGCTTAACTCAGAGTAACTTTCACAGGTGTTGTCTGCCTCCCTGTTGTATGGCAGTTGGTTTTTGTTCTTGCCTGGATTGTAGGGTTTTATATGGTGTGATTGTAACTTGACTATATGGCAGAAGTTGCTGTCTCTTCTTGGGTAATATAGGGAGAGAAAGAGCCCCCCAAAGGTAAAAGGAGGAACAAAAGAACAACAGCAAAAAAAAAAGAAAAAAAGAAAAAAAATTCAAGATGCCACTGTTAATTGTTATGCTGTACCCCAGGATTTAATTTTCAGCCTATTTTGTTTTTAAACTCTCTTCTCCACACCTCCTGTTCTGGCCTTTTCCCTATTAACAAACAGTTCAGGGCTGGCTGTGGTTGTTGTAAGCTGCCTGCCCCTTTAAATGCTGATAGTATTTGTGCACATGCATGGCAGAAGAACCCACCAGTGGTGGGGGCAGGGGGTGTCCACTCTCTCAGGCACCTCCTCTAGTCACCAGAATGGAAGTGCACAGACAGTGAGGGGCCAATGAGTAGATACCAAAAAAAAAAAAAAATCAGAACAAAGCAAAACCCCCAAAGTGTATTGTGCACCTTTGCTCCGAGGTTCCTGTGGTGTTATTCTGTGGCAGGTCTGCTTGCTCCCTTGCTTTCTCTTGCTGTTTGGTCTCGCCAAAATTGTCAGCTCCAGGCTGCTGAGCCCTGCAGATTCTAAAGTATGAAATTTCTTACTTCTGTTACAAGTTCCACTAGCTATAAGCCCTCAAATTAAAAAAAAATATTCCTACATATGTGGTTCAGAGTTTTGGAGTTCTTCCCTGAATCTGCTTTGCCTGGTATTCTGTGGTATTGCTGACAGAGATCTTCACTGCACTTATACCTTATCCACCATCAAACCCAACCTCAAGCCAACCACTTTTGAGATATAAAAAGAGTACGTTAGTCACAGAAGGAAACATACAGAGTGGAGGAAAACTAGATGCCATGTGGAGATCTCCTTGGAATTCCAAGAGCACTAGAGAGCTAAGACAAGGATTTTCTTCCAGGGTAGACAGTGAGAACTTTCCCCTAGAATTGATGCCCTCAATTCCAATATGTAGCCTCTTAAACTGTGAGTAGATAAATTTCTGTTCGTTAAAGCTACTCACTTATGGTATTTCTGTTATAACAGTACTAGAGAGAGACAGAAAGAGAGAGAGAGTCCTGGTGTGGTGCTGTGGGTTAATGTGCTGGACTGCAAAGTTGTTTGAACTGCAAGTTCAGTGCTTCAAGCTCACCAGCAGCTCCTCAGAAACCCTATATAAACAATTATATGTATATTATGTATATACAAATATGTATATATATACTGTTGTTGGTAAGTGCCATGGAGTCAGGTTTGACTCATAACAACCCTGAGGAGCAGGTGGTGGGGTTTGAAATGCAGACCTTGTGGCTCATAGTCCAGTGCTTATCCTATAGTGCCACACCAGGAGACTTTTTATATATGTGAGGGCATATAATGTTTGTCCTTTCGTGAGTGACTTATTTCACTCAGTTCCATTCATATTGTATTTAAGACACCTACTCTTAGCTCTGCTTTTGCTAACCCAACTGACTTACTTCTTTGCCTTTCTTGAGTTATAGACCCTTGTACCTTCATGTAAGGAATCCTGGTAGCATAGTGGGTTATGTATTGGACTGTTAACTGCAAGGTCAGCATTTCAGATCCACCAGCTGTCCCTTGGGAGAAAGATGAGACTTTCTGTTTCTGTAAAGATTTACAGTCTCAGAAATTTCTGAGGGTCTCTATGAGTGGGAACTGATTTGATGGCATGCAGCAACTCTCTCATGTTGGGGCCCCTTTGTAGGCCTACATGATAAACTTTTCTCTTATCTCTGTCCAGTCACCTCTATCTGTCCCAATGAGTTCTCATTCCTTATCCTTCACCAGGGAAAGTCCTTATTAAATGTGCTACTTCACAACTCTGTTGTACTCAAGGTTACCTTTTTTTCCTTGTTGTTTATAATTTTCTGAAGCTGTGATTTCTTTAGCATGTGCCTCTTCCTTTTCTTGCATCATCATTTCTCCAGTTGCAAAGAGTGTATGTAACTTCTGGATCAAATCAGTAGCAGTCCCAGAACCATCGTTATGATTGCTGCCTAATACAAAGAAATGCTGTTCCTGGAAATCAAATTCACCAAACGGCTCACTATTTTTTGACTCTAGTTCATAAATCTCAGGAAGAAAGCTGAGGTGACAGAAAAAAGAGATGAAAAAATATGTTATCTAAGTCCCTTGAAGGATTAAATGCAAATACAGTGAGATCATATAACATGAATCCATTTTATGTATGTGATTGAAATAGTCCAAATGTAATTTGTGGATGAGATTTGACTCCGGGACAATTTTATAATATTCCAAAGGGAAATTAGACATGTGTCTCAGTGTTTTAACACTCCAGGGCAATATTATTTTTGTCACTGAATTTTTATTGAGTACTTAGGACTGTACTTTGCAAAATCGAACTTGTAAGAATCCTTCCTGCCAATCTTCAAATGTTTATTAAATGTGCAAATGTTCTTGCTACTATTTTATGACTTTTTAAATGTTTTATTCTGCTAAAATAGTGTTACATCCAATCTTCAACATTAGATAATTATTAGTAAGAGAGTTACTTATCTCTTATTTTTGTAAAAGAAACAGAAACGGAATTCTTTCCAATTATGAATCATGTTTGATTTGTTATTAAAACCAGGTCTCTGTTGTCAAAACAAACCAGGAGCATTTAAAACATACATGTGCACACACACAACCAAACTTGTATCTTGAAAGTGAAAATGCCATTAATTTCAAATTATTGTTTTAAGCACTCTTTTCAGCTGCAGTGTTATCAAATCTGTGATTTCATCAACTCACAATTCAATGTTTTCTGTTCCAACGTTGTCTGGAATGGGAGAGGTGATATTACCACATTTGGGTTTCAGATGTGTGGGGGGATATTTGTTGATGGCACCTGATGAAAGAGTAGGCTGGTTAGTCTAAATTTTACCCTACTACATTCCGACTATCACCCAAAATCAGTTCACTTTTTTCTATGGCTGGAACTATTTTCAGCAGAAAATGAATTATATTAGGGGCTTTGACAAGTAAGCATCTTCTGACATTAAAAGCCAGGTCTGTGTTGACATACAACAGTGATCCATATAGCAGTCAAATGTTCCCATCTTCTGTATGTTACAAGCTTGTGATATACTTTGAAGGCCTCTTTTAATCTCTCCTATGAAATTGGGACTCTTAGAAGACTCTGTTAGCTAGTGGAATGTCTGCTCTGTTTGTCTTTAGGTTGTAAGAAGGCACTATTTATTTATTTATTTTTTTGCAAGTAACACATATGGCACTCTACATAACTCTTGAATTCAAGAGTCCTGAGGTCTCTTTGAGCCCTATGGGCATTATGGGAATCTGGAGCTGCAGATAACCATTCAATGAGAGCTCTGCCCTATTTCAAATTTTTCCATAGGCCAGGACTTATTCCACACTCAAATGCTTATGTTTGCTATATACCTGTACCCCAGGCAGCTACCCTCAAAGCCCCTCTATATGAAGACACCCTCAAAATCCCCGCCTCACTATGTCTATGTCTGTGTTTGGGGCAAAGCTCTAGAAGAGATTTGTGCCTATGACTCATAAGAATTCAAGTCAGAACCAAAGTTAATTACAATAACCAGATAACATAGGATTCCTAGGAGCAGTTACAGAATGATGGTAATGGGATATTATGTGTTGCAACAGTATACCTTGTTAGAGATCTAGTACCTGAAGTACAGGTTAAGGGGTAAAAGCATAGCTCTGCAATCAGAATGAGTAGGGTTGTGATGGCATTTGCCAACTATTAACTGTGAGCCTTTGAGTAATTTATTTAATGTCTGAGAACCTCAGTTTTCTCATGCAAAAGGAGAATATTAGTATTTTACTTTGAAAACTATATTTAGGATTAAGTAATATAATCTATGCTGGTGGTATTGAAAAGTAAGCAATAAACTGCTAACCACAAAGTCAGCAGTTGAAACTCACCAGTCGTTCCATGAGAGGAAGATGAGGAGTTTTGTTTCCCTAAAGATTTATAGTCTCAGAAACCCTCTACAGGGTCACTGTGAGTTGGAACCAACTAGATGGCACCTGACAACAAGCACAATACAGTCCATGTAAAGAATTTATCACAGTGCCCGACACATAGTAAACTGTCTTTGATTAAGTTTCAAATACCTTTTTTCCATATGAAGATTTCCTGGCAAAAACCTTGATGGTATAGCAGTGAAGCTTGGGATTAATAGACTGGAATTTTTCTCTGTGGATTTGTCACATCTCCCATCCATACCTTAGACTACACTATTGACTGAAGTGAGGATGTGTCTACTGATGGATTGTACACAGAGGCAATAAAAGCTATTACAAAAGCAGTAACAGAGAAAAGCTTGAATGACTTACGTCTGATTGAATAGACAAATGGCTTGATGAACTTGATGATATAGTCCAAATCTGGCTTGTGGATTCGGCCAAGCTGAACTAAGTGTTGATCTAATGGGTAGCTGGCTAGCTCTTCTAATTCCTTTTCATTGTGTATAGGACCAAAGGAAAACACAAATATAGAGTAGCCTTGACACTTGGCTCTCATAGACACTTTCATTAAGACTTCTTTGTCTAAAGGGTTGGTTTCACCAGCAGATATTATAAAGATAACTTTGTTTTTCCTAGGGTTGGGGATTCCTACAAAGATGTTTTCCATTGTCCACTGCAGAGCATGGCCAATAAAAACATCTCCATTGAGGTGTTGAAGAGAGTCTTGGAGATGATGTTTCATTTGGTATACATGGTTATAAGTAGCCAAATCAAATTCTGGGTAGACTGGGCATTCTTCTGTGTTGGGCATATAACCCAAAGGAGAGTAGCTCAGGACAGCAACTCTATCTCCTAAAGCAGAGGTCAGGGGATTTGGGGTAATATAAAAGTAATCAAGCACTGAGATTATAAAAGCTTTCACTTCTTCAAACACATCATGTCCTACTCTTTGGGAAGCATCTATGAGGAAAGCCACATCCATGTAATAGTCTTGAAGAGAGGTATTTCCAGGTTCATAAGCTGAACTTGATTCTTCTTTTGTGCCATGATTTTCATGTCCTACAACAGAATAATTCAAGTTACCCTTTTTTAGTAGAAGGATAAACTCGGAACTCCTACTTCAAGGATGGCAAATACACTGCATGAGGCATTGCTATGCCCCATTCCATACCCAAAGGAGCTTTGTTATCAAAGTAGGCTATAAGTCAGACTGTTCTTTGCAAGGTCAGCATTTCAAATCCACCAGTGGCTCCATAGGAGAAAGATGAGGGTTTCTGCTCCTGTAAAGATGAACAGCCTTGGAAACCCTTCACAGGGTTACTATGAGTTGGAACTGACTCCATAGCATATAACCCCCACCACCGCTATTTCCACACCCATGGTAGACACCACAAATACCACAGTATTTGTCCCCAGGTGATATCTCCAAATCCTTTTTCACATAGAACACTTGGAGGCAGATATTGTCACATGAGAAACAAACAAACACCTACTAAATACCCCATCTTAGATCTTTGTTAATTAATTCATTTATTCTTACGTTATTTCTATATGCAAAATGAGAAGTATACAGTTCTTTTTAGTGAATCCCAAATGGTTACAGAACTTGGAGTACATATTTGCATGGACAATTATATGTAATACCCCCGAGAGAAAAGTGCATATGTCAAAGTCACACTACTTATGGCACACATATACCTTTGCACAGATTTACCTTGTTTTATTGTTTTTTGCTTTATTGTACTTAATAGATAGGGTATTTGTTTTTTTGTGTGTGTATTTTTTTTTTCACATATTGAAGGTTTATGGAAACTCTGCATTGAACAATTCTGTCAGCACCAGTTTCTAATAGCATAGGCTATTATGTCTCTGTTACATTTGGAAATTCTCACAGTACTTCAGAATTTTCATCATGCTATTATTGCACTACTCTGGTAGTGTAGTGGTTATGAGTCGAATTGCTAACCTCAAGGTCAACAGTTCGAAACTACCCACTGTTCATAGGGAGAAAGATGAGGCTGTCTGCTCCTGTAAAGAGTTACAGCCTCAGAAACCATGTACAGGGTCGCTATGAGTTGGAACCAACTCTATGGCACACCACCACCACCATTGCATAGGTAATAAACTATGTTGTTGTTGTTGTTAAGTGCCGGTGAGTCGGTTCCGACCCATAGCGACCCTGTACAGGGTTTCCGAGGGTGTAAATCTTTACGGGAGTAGAAAGCCTCATCTTTCTCCCGCGGAGCGGCTGGTAGTTTCGAACCGCTGACCTTAAGGTTCGCAGCCCGGTTCGTAACCACTACTCTACCAGAGCTCCTTAATAAACTATGGTATCTTGTAAATATAACTTTCATATGCCCTGGGAGACCAAAATTTCACGTGACTCACTTTATAACTGTATTTGCTTTATCGCAGTGGGCTGGAGCCTGTTTTGCACTGTCTTTGAGGTATACTTGTACAGACATTCAAAATATGCACTATGGAGTGCTGTCAGGGGATCAAATGTAAGGGCTGACTTTAGATCAAAACTCTGTGTGTTGTTGTTGTTGTTAAGTGCTGTTGAGTCTGTCCTGATTCATAGTGACTCTGTATAGGATTTCTAAGAGCAGCTGGTGGGTTTGAACCACCAACCTTGTGGTTAGCAGTCCAGTGTTTATCCTACAGTATCACACTAGGACTCCAAACTCTGTAGCTATGCTCTAAGACCATGGTACTCACAGTGCTGGTCCACAAGCTGTATGTCAACCATTTACAAGATAAGATTACACACGATGTAAGTCAACCTTATTACTAAGCATATTGATTAATTGTTTTTTGTTTTTTTTTCCTTTCTCTCTTTTGAGCAAGACTTTCTCAATGAAGGAAGCAGCATCTTACTTTGCATTGAGATGCAAGCTTAACTTGTTTCAGTATTTCAGTTAGCACTGTTCTAAAGGGATCATGAGACCAGTGTTTCCAAATTATAGGAATGATGGCTGGTTGGTGAGACCACAACAGGAAATTCTAGCTCAGAAAAATTTTAAGAGAGTGATCAAAGCTTTTTTCTTCTATGAAAGAAGTGTGTCTATGAATCCAATCAAGGAAGAAGTAGATTCTAAATGGAAAAAAATGTGTTGATCTCTATAAACACTGAACTGCTAATCACAAATATTTATTGATTCCTATCAACACTGGTCAACAATTCAAACCCACCAGCCATTCTTCAGGAGAAAAATGAGACCTCCTGCTCCAGGGAACATTTACCGCCTTGGAAATCTACACAGGGTCACTGAGCTGGAATCCGCTCCTGGCAATGGAGTTATTTGTGTTAAAGAACAAAGATGTCTGGTTAAGGACTAAGGTGTACCTGACCCAGGCTATGGTATTTTCAATGATCTCATATGCATGTGAAAGCTGGATAATGAATAAGAAAGACTGGAGAAGAATTGATGCATTTGAATTATGGTGTTGGCTAAGAATACCATGGACTTCCATAAATACAAATAACTTTGTCTTGAAAGAAGTACAGCCAGAATGTTCCTTAGACACAGTGTCAGAAAGGACCAGTCCCTTGAGAAGGACATCATGCTTGGGAAAGTGGAGGGTCATCGAAGAGAAGGAAGATCACCCATGAGATGGACTGACACAGTGGCAGCAACAATTGTCTCAAACATAAGGACAATTGTGAAGATGGCTCAGGACTGGGCAGTATTTTGTTCTGTTGTGCACAGTGTCACTGTGAGTCAGAACCAACTCAACGGCACCTAATAGCAACAACAACAATTTGTGATTGATCCTGTAGTAGGTACTCAAATATCTCTATTGATCTGTATTGATGTCATAATATTGAAGTTGTTGTTGTTATTTAGTGCCATCAAGTCGGTTCCAAATCATAGCAACGCTGTATAAGTTTTCCGAGGAACGACTGGTGAGTTTGAAGCACTGACCTTGCAGTTCAAGCCAATCTT